AACTAAAAGACAGAACAACTATAATCCAGAACCATGTGAAAGCTGGCTGAGTGGAAATACTACAACCAGAGAGGTGAAGAAAGTGCATTGAGAGTGGTAGGAGGTGTGGAGGCACAGAACAGGCTGGCACCCGGATGTGCTGTTTTTTTAATCAGGAGGGAGATACAAGCTCCCAATTGCTCTGACCTCTAGTTCTGGGTGAGACTCTGGGGGATCCAGACACATATAGGGAAAAACTGGACTGTCTGGCATCGAGGCAGGAAAGTGAGGGCAGCTTTTTTTCAGAGGGAGATGCTCACAGTGGTCATTGGTCCTGCGATGGAACCTCACTGGTACAGGGCTGACTGGCAGCCATTGCTGTTTGCACCACCCTGGCGATTCCTTGAGACCCCATCCTACCCAATTTACAACCCCACCCAAGCTGTTTTCAGTGGCTTTTGCATATGAATGGTCTGTTCTTTCTCAGCCTAAAACCTGTCAAATAGGCAGCAGCGGGATCAGGGAGCCCTAAAGCTATTAAAAGAAGGCCCACGGCTGGCAGTAGCAGCCTGCCTTGCTTCACAGCTGGGCCCCGTATAGGCACTTCCAAACCCAATACAAAGAGGAGGAATCTGCAGATCTCTCTGTAGCTCCTGCTGGGCAATCCCAGGCAGTGGCTGACTTTACACCTTTTTGGAGATCCAAGAGCCAGTGTACCCAGTGGTCAGTATGAGACCATATGAGATTACAACTCTTCACATCCATAAGTGACACATTCAAGGGGCAGACTCAGTGAGCACCAAAGCCCCACTGAAGCAAGTCCTGCCCCATAAGGGTGTCTCCTGCACAGCAGCTCTTCCATTGTAGACACAGCTGGTCCTTACAGCCAATTGGTCTGGAGGTCAATTCCTCCCAGTGATACCAAAAGTATTCAAGACATACTACAACAAGACCGTGCACACAGCCCACAAAGGGGTGCACCAAGAGTGTCCACCTCAGGTAACTGGGGAGGCCAGCCCACAGGCCCTATAGGACACCTACCACACAAGGTCACTCTATCAACTAAAGGAGACTTAGCAGCTACCCAATACATAGAAACAAACAGGGAAGCAGCCAAAATGCAGAGACAAAAAAACATGTCACAAATGAAAGAAATTGAAGAAAGTGAAAAACTGGATATAGAGTTCAAAACCACAGTTACAAGATTACTCAAGAATCTTCTATAAACCTCTGAGGAACATAGTGAGACCTTCAACGATCTTAGTGAGTATGCCTAAAAAAAAAAAAGAAAAGAAAAAAAGAGAAAAGGACCAGTCAGAAATTAAGCATACACTGACTGAAATAAAGAATAATATACGGAGATCCAACAGTAGACTAGAGGATCCAAGAATCAAGTCAAAGATTTGAAGTATGAGAAAGCAAAAAACACTCAATCAGAAGAGTAAAAAGAATAAAGAATACAAAAATATGAAGATAGTGTAAGGAGCCTCTGGGACAACTTCAAGCATACCAACATCTGAATTATGGGGGTGCGATAAGAAGAGAGAGAGAGCAAGGTATTGAAAACCTATTTGAAGAAATAATGACAGAAAACTTCCCCTACCCGGGGAAAAAAATAGACTTACAAGTCCAGGAAGTGCAGAGAGCCCCAAACAAGAGGAATCCAAAGAAGACCACACCAAGACATATCATAATTAAAATGCCAAGGGCAAAAGACAAAAAGAGAATCTTAAAAGTAGCAAGAGAAAAACAGTTAGTTACCTACAAGGGAGTACCCGTATGTCTGTCAGCTCATTTCTCAACAGAAACTATGCATGCCAGAAGGGAGTGGAAAGAAATATTCAAAGTGATGAATAGCAAGAATCTACAACCAAGATTACTCTACCCAGCAAAATTATTTAGAATTAAAGTTCAGATAAAGAGCTTCACAGACAAGAAAAAGCTAAAGGATCACCACCAAACCAGTATTATATGAAATGCTGAAGGGTATTCTTCCGAAGAGGAAGAAAAAGGTAATGATAAAATATTATGAACAACAAAGTAACAACAAATACATATCTATCAACAAGTGAATCTAAAAATCAAATGAATAAAAAATCTGATGAAAAGAATAAAGGGTGAATGTAATAGAATCAGGGGCATGGAAAGGGAGCGGATTGACAATTCTCAGGAGAAGAGAGTGTTGGGGGGTGTGGGAACAGATTGGACAAAGATATTACACCTATGGACGAGGACAATGGGAGGGGTGAGGTTCTGGAGTGGAGAGGGAATCGGGTGGAGGGGAGCTATGGGGGGAAAAAAAGAGAAACACCTGTAACAATCTGAACAATAAAGATAAAAAATTAAGATACACAGGAATAAACTTAACTAAGGTGGTAAAAGACCTGTACTCAGGAAACTACAGGACATTGAAAAAAGAGATAGCGGAAGACATAAACAAATGGAAGAACATACCATGTTCATGGATTGATAGAACCAACATCATTAAAATGTCCATACTACTCAAAGCAATCTACAGGTTCAGTGCAATTCCCATTAAAATACCAATGGCATATTTCACAGATCTAAAACAAACTCTTCAAAAATTCATCTGGAATAAAAAAAGATCCTGAATGGCCACAACAATCCTCAGAAAGAACAAAGTTGGAGGGATAACAATACCAGATATCAAGCTATATTACCAAGCCATGATTCTCAAAACTGCCTGGACCTGGTACAAGAACAGACATATATACCAAGGGAATAGAACAGAGAACCCAGAAATCGACCCGAACGAATATGGTCAATTAATGTTTGACAAAGGAAGCAAGACAGTCTCTTCAATAAATGGTGCTGGGAAAACTGGACAGATACATGCAAAAAAATGAAACTAGACCACCAACTTACCCCATACACAAAAATAAAAATTGTAC